AACTGCAGCCGAAATATTTTCCTTAAGGTCTTACATCTCCCACCTCCTTTACAATTAAACCAACAACCCGTACAATGGCACCCTCATAACAAACCCATAAAACACCTAGGCCCTTCCTTAGATACCCGACTCGGTTATAAAAATCACATCGACAATAAAATTATACAATCAAAAATCAAATTACTCCAACTAAAGCCAATAATAAATAGATATGCTAAATTACCGTACAATACCGCCTTATTGATTTACAAAACTATCATTCGACCACTACTTTCATATGCATGCCCAGTACGGATCAGCGCAGTCAAATGGAATACCAAAAAACTCCAAATAGTCCAAAATCATTTCCTCCGCACCATCATGAACGCACCATGTTTCATCTCCAATTCACAACTTCATAAAGAATTCCAGGTAGAATCGATAACAAACCATATTATTTTTTTATCCACCCACTTCTTCCACAACATTCCTTTCATACTTTTCTCAATAAATTTTCGGATCTCGACCTAATGTAGAGTTATCATATAAAGATACTTCTACCAATTTTGTAGTACTGTAAGTTGTATTTTAAGTTTAGTAGTAAGTTTATTGTAAATTAATTATAAGTAGATTTAAGCAACCTTAACAAATGTAGAATGTTTTAACACAGATCTTTGTATAATTCAATCCAGAAGAAAATAAATAAATAAAAAAGGGGGCCCAATATTGAATATCGTGGCGGGACTCTGATCCAGGAAGGTGATTTGCAATGAACTTCACTGATTCCGGTCCATCGTTCAGACGAGAAAATGCAGCGAGTTAAGAAAGCACCAGTTGTGATCACGTTTCAAACACTTTCATAGCTTTCTTAAAATTTGAATCGATTTATTGATTTATTTTCGTACAAAAAGCAATAAATGTATGCAATGCATGGTCGAAAAGTGATGAGTGCAGGTTTTCCTGAGCTCCAGAATCTCATTCCCTGAATTTTACTATGCGTAGTTGAATGATGAATAAAAGCACTAATAAGGGGATGGCTAGGAACATGTGAAATCTCATTCTTATTAGCCATTTGTAAAATTATACAGTACAAATGTAGTGCGACTGTATCCTTGCTTTAATGGCAATCAAGTTAACATTTTCAATGTCAAAAGGTTTATTTATCAACTGATTGATTGATTTATTTCTTCATTCATTCGCTTGAGTGTATCAAGAGAGCACGACATTTTGCAATCGGCTTGATTGCCTCCATAGATAACTTTAGAGGTACATGTAATTCACTTTTAAGGTTCGCCGCAAATATTGAGTCTAAATATGTCTTTAGTTTAAACCAGTTTTGAACTTACCCTTCAAATGATTTAATATGACATGAATGAATGAGCTGTGTACAATGGGGAACTATATAACTTCTATCTTCACGTATCTTTTTTTTCTATATTTTAGATGAGTGATTTAGACGATACAATAGGAGATATTAATAAAAATATTACTTTATTTAAAAATCGTTTGATGTCTGTAAATACTTTGTTGGTGTACCCTCTTTGACGACTTCACGATACTTGAGACGTGGGATACACTTTCACGATTTAGTACTTGAGAAAGGGAGTTTATATTGCGAACACTCCTTCATGACAGCCGCAGAAGCCGCCACGAGTAGAAAAAATACCACGAAGTTGTTTCCCAAGAACTCGTAGCAAGCACACATATAGAAGCCACATAAGCCGACTTAACAAGATACCGCATGCAAATTTGTTCAACCACTTCACTTTATCAACGCGCACAGACTCCATTTTCCCTCTCCCTTTCCTCTCTCCCTCACTCTCTCTCTCTCTCTTTCCCCGCCGGAGAGCGCTGTTCCGGTTCCGGTACATTCGCGGTTTAACTATGAATTAGTTAAACAGCACTCGGCGTGTTTTCTTTACGGTGCGTTCTACCCCGGCGCGGCGCGCAGCCTACCTAATTCTCGGGCGCTTTGCTGCTCGTTTGCTCACTCTCGAGCGCGGCCACGATCGCGGCGGAGAGGCAGCTGGGCGGGCGACTGACAGCTCCAAAGTCAATGATCCGGGGACGCCCCTCCGCCTAGCTGCCATTTCCCCCCAACTTCCCAGGCCCCACCCCGGTAACTTTCCCGCGCAAAGTAAACCTGGCGCCCTCTGTCTGACGAAGACGCCGCTTCAATTGATGTTTCTTTATTATCGCCCTCTTCCCTCCTCCCCTACCTTCGCCTTCCATCGCGCTCCTTCATTCAATTAGCGGGAGGAGTATGACTCCGGGGGTCGGGTCGAGACGGTGAGGAGAACGAATTCGTTTTGCTAGGCGAGCTGCCGACGGACTTTTGGGACCGGCGAGGAAGCCCCGGAAAAAGGCAGGGGAGGTGGAGGATCACCGGGGAGAAGGTTTCAAGGTTTTGCGGAGGGTTTCAGAGTTAACTGGTCTACGCGAGTCATTAAGTACGGGAATCCTTTGTGGTTGCTGCTACTTTGAGCGAATGTTTCGGTCTCGTAGCCTGTGGGTGCAATGTCTACACAAAAGATAAAACATTTCCAAAGGACTGGATACTTTCTAGGTGATGCCAGCTCTGCAGTCTTTGGCAGTGTTGTTCAATCTGGTGGAAAGTAAACGTTAGAAAAGCAATTTTAAAAAAGTTATAAGTTGGAAAGTAACATAAAAATAAATTGAAAATAAATAACTGGAGAAAGGGAAAACTTTACCCAAAATAATGTGTCTTTTTAATTTTCAACGTTCACAGTGCTACATGAAATATCTGAAAATAAAATCTATCAAATATTTGTGAATATTTTAAACGAGGGTAAATTTGCTATTTACAGATACAATATTTTATTTTTTATTGATACGTTATTGTACAATTTACCTTGATCGAAGTACCGTTGTTACGAAGGAAATACAAAAGCCGTTGACTGAATCTACACATTTCTTATGACGGGAATTATGAGCGAACGTATGTGAGGAAAATATGAAAAGATAAGCAGAAAAAACAAGTCACATTTTCGTCTAGTTAATTAGTAAATAAGTAAACATGAATCATTAAAATAGATAAGAAAGAAATATTTCATTTACGAATAGGCGTTAACTGGTTGTGATGATCTTGGGCGACAAGAGACCTGGAACTAAAGACTCTCGGAGTTTTTGTCCCCTCTCGATCATTAAAATCTTTATAACGCCCTTGGTGAATAAATAACTACTTTATTTATGCTTTTGAAAATACGGTAATTTTTCTCCCAATACCATAACGTTATCTGAAACACTAGTGCTGGAAATTTTGCATAGGAACACCCGCAATATTGCCTGTATACAATTTTTTCCAATTTGTCACCAGATGAGTTCCGAACGTAACCTTCTAATGCTTGACTCCCGGCCACGCTTTCAGTTATTTCACCCGTTGCTTGCGTCGATCCTTAGCTCTGTGAAGATGAGATCTAATTAGGAGAGTAATTATCGGAGAATTAACGTTTGCCGGACATTTAACCAGGATTGCGTTAGTCGCGACATTGTACACTGACGATTTTCGGTTCTTCGAAAACAGAAAGTCCTCCTCCCCTGTTGACTTTGAACCCAATGGTGTTGGAAGACAATGCTGTAACCCATATATATTACTACCGCCGACCGTCTTTCTCTGATACCTGCATTTCTTGTTCAATTGTGAGATGGCATTAAACGATTAAAATCGATAAACAAGTTTAAGAGCCAAGGAAAATATTTTCTGCTGCATAAAAGTTTCTATACAATTAGATAGTATACCGAGCATTAAAAAGGAAAATAATATTATTGTAACAATGATATTTAATGTAATATTTATTATTTGGACTGTAGAATTCTAAACAGCTTGTAACAAATATTGTACCTCAGCTTCTAGCTCAATGATCCTCATTTTGATCAGGTGTTTCGTCACGTTACTCTGATCAATCGAGCGAATGCTGAGATAGTCCCTTGTTTTGTTTCTGGACGTAAATATACCTTCACAATACACTTTGGTAATATAGTTATTCGAATTATCGTTCTTCATGTCCTCATGGCAGGACGTCCTTCATGATTGCTTCACGAAGGCCACGAAGAGAGATAATAGCCTAACTCTGCAGCTGATTTGTCTTTGCAGATAGTTTTTATTACACTGGAGAGATTTTTTTCTTATCAGTCGTTACCAAAAATGCTCATTTCATTTGCATTCAGAATTCAACTTGTATATGGGTTAGGGTAGGGATATGAAAATTTCAGAAACTTGGACAGAATACACTTCTCCACTTAGCACGTTACTCATAGTATTTTTTATTGTTTTTAACGTGAAACAAATAAAAATTAAAGCTCTGTTATTGTGCACACGTCCGCTTAACGTAGATGAATTTCTCATTAATTCATTCAATTCCATTCGTTCTTTCCGTCAGTCAGAGTCAATTCTTTAATTAGTTTGTTCATCCATGCGTTCATTATTTGTTCGTTCATTCGTTCTCCTACGCGTTCATTTTTTTTTCATTTGTTCGTTCACTCGTTCGATCACGTATTGTTTCATTCATGTATCAGTGCATTCTGCTCGTGTCTCCGCCACCGAGGAAGACGGGGTTACTGTTTGGACGTGATACAATTAAAAATTAAAGATCTGTTATTGTGCACACGTCCGCTTAATGTAGATGAACTTCTCATTAATTCATTCCTTTCCATTCGTTCTTTCTGTCCATTAGAGTCGATTCTTTAATTAGTTTCTTCATCCATGCGTTCATCATTTATCCATGCGTTCGTTCATTCGTTCGCTCATTCGTTCTCCCACGCGTTCATTTTTTTCTTTCATTTGTTCGTTTACTCGTTCGATCACGATTGTCTCATTCATGTATCAGTTTATTCTGCTCGTGTCTCCGCCGCCGAGGAAGACGGGTTTAATCGCGGCGCCGGGCGTTATCAGGGGCCGGCCCCGCTGCCGAGCGCGTTATCGTCGCCTGCGCCCCCCACTAGCCGCCCCGGCTGCCCGTCGCCGTCCGCCCCGGGCCCGGCAGTCGCCCGCGGTCGCGGCCATGGAGAACTCCGGGTGCCCCGCAGCCTCCGACGAGGGCGGCGCGTGCGACGACACGGCCTGCTGCGGCGGCGCGCGCCACCGCCCGGTGTGCGGCAGCGCGCGGCGCCGCTCCTGCCTGCTGGCCACGGTCGTGGTGATGCTGGTGCTGCACGGGGTCTCCATGCTGGGCCTGTACCGCCTCAACCTCTTCGTGGACAAGCTCGACCAGCGGTGCGCCGGGGTGGCCGGGCAAGGGCGAGTGAAGCGAGACGTGACGCGGGACGGCGGCGCCACCAAACTCGACCCCGAGGCCGCGGCGGCCGCCGCCGCGCTCAACGCCCTGCAGAACTCGCTGCACAATAACACCGCCAAGGAAGTCACGCTGTTCCAGTCCGATGTGAAAGTGCCCGTAAGTACCCGGCCGTTGTTGATGGTTCCGCACCACTGTCACGTGGTATCTGTTGATGCGTGGAAATTGTGTGGTTTGAAATGGTGCACATGAATGGTAATTGTGATAGTGATTATATTTCAAATACATTATATAAAATGATTCAATACGAAGTTCTTCACATCACGTGTTCAATGAATTTGTAACTCATGATGCTGCAAAATTACTATAATCAATATAAACGCGTTATACTGGCAATATGCGTATAATATGTTATTTGGATTCCAGTTACAGGAAAGTAACAGGATAACAATAGTTACGAGAAAACGTGAGTATACTAGTAAGAATTGTTGGATTTATTTCATTGATACCGACAAACTGTTCACTCCTGAGGAATTCTATTATACCTATGAGTATGGCATCAAATACCTTTCGAGCATGGTATACGATATATGATACAGCGGTTCTAAACGCCGGAATTTGCATTTCAAGTTAAAAGAAAGAAAACAGTAATAGAATTCTCACTGATACCATTCTAGGATTCAAGGGAGAATTGTTGAGTCAACTATAGCTTCTCAAAGAGAAACCGTTGCAAATGAAATAAACTCATTACGAAATTTAGTGTGTGACTGAAAATAATTTTTGGTAGTGAAACTAAGAAATAATCTTTCTGATAGCCATGCGAAATCAAGGCTATAAAAATATTGTTTTCTTCCACGTACGTGCTGGTGTAAACTCTAGTTAGAAGAAATATTTAAATAATTTTAATTATTATGGTGTTTTTGTAATAAATCCTATTTTTTGTACTCGTACTGGTTGCTTGTTGCTTGTTGTTACTTTCCATACGGAGCTCGATATACAGTGCTTAACTTACCTGGATCGTGGATTCCAAGGAAATATGAAAGGAGATGAATAATTCTTCATATTCTCTAATGGAGGGTATTATAAGAAGGAATTACTGTATATAGGAAAACATTATTGAAGCATAAATAACTATTAATGATCAATTTTTATCTTTTTGGCTTTTTTCATCCCCATATTAATCAAAGAAAAATGCATTTGGCTGCCTATTTTATTACATAAAATTATGTTTTTTCCTGCCTTTCGTAAATAGAATGACAGAATTTCGGACTCTACTCATCAGTATTTTAGGATGCTACTACAGGGGAAACAGACGCCGCTCGACTAGATACCTATTGGCACCTACAACATACTGGCGCCACACTTGCCTCAACACGCCCAAATTTCGAAATCTAAAGTGTCGTGTTGCATCAGATTGTTTACAATTTAATGCACGGGTGTTATGGGGTATAAAACTTTGATGCCGCACGTATATATAACGAATATAATGCGTATTTTTTATATATTTTATTATACAATTTTTTTTCCTAATAGCCTGTCCCATCTAATTTTTCTAAGGAAATAAGCCAAAAATGTATGGGCATAAGAAAGTTATTTGGGGTGTCTGGTGAGAAAAGTAGTTTATGGGCAGATTTCAAATACCATTTAACGAATTTCTCGACAGACTTGTCAAATCTTTCTTTGTAATTGTAAATGCATTGCATAACACCTCTGCGATGTGTATTGATGTTGTTTGTAAATTTTTTGATCCGTAAACGTTTTTTTACCAAGAATTCTACATGAAATGCCACTGACAGGGATGATATTTACCGTAATATCGTTTTTGTAGCAATCGTACAAGCTACTATACAAGTGGACCTTGAGTGAAAAACGCGAAATTAAAGTTGGGTGCAATTTTTTTCAGAAAAGTAAAAATTGGTGTGTGCTTTATTCCTTTAACAAAACTCTATATACTTTTGTATTGTTACATAATGGATAGTACTGCATAAATAGATCGTAACCTATCAATATCCATTAATAAGTATTTTACTTTGAAATGTGTACTTCTTTTGATGTATAGGTAAGGCAAAACCGATTCTCTCTGTAATAGTCTTACATTACTATTTAATTCCACAAAGACATATAGTATTAATTAGCTTATTAGTTTTGCTATGGAAAACTATTTATCGCAATTATTCCGAAAGATTTGAACAAATTCTTTTGACACGCATCTGTTCCTGCGTTACGTAAAATAGCGCAATTTTACAAAATCTGTTAGTAGGTGTTGTTGTAATCATGGATAATATTGTTTACTGAGACCATGATTGCACACAACAAATCGTGTGTTTGATAAGGCAATTCTTCACATGTTCGTTAATTGGACGGAAGAAAGCTGTAGCACTACATCACACACAGCTTACGTTCTTAACTTATCCTACAGGGTCATATGGGGCAGATCTGAAATAGACGTTGAGCCGAGGTTGTAATTTTTTATACTCTACATTATCATAAGCCTTCCTGGTTTCTGATAGAATGTTTCGACGCGATTCATCATTTTTTTAAATTATATCTGTCAAGGTTGTCCAACCTTTCTCGCTGCGACAATGTTGTCCAAACCACAATAAAGATGACAATGACAAGGGGGGCGACATTGGGTCCCTCTTGTTGGGTGGTTTCCGATTCGTAGCGAAGCCACTGGATTTGCTCCAAAATTGATAATCTATTTAACTGGCAGGATTCTATGCCCTACGAATTTGAAACGGATACTTTGATTTTGAATGGTACTTTGCATAAAGCCTCATCCACATTTTCAAAATGTGCTCAAAAACGACTCCATATTTTGGATTATTTATTTTTAACTCTGGTAGGAAAGTACATTGAAAAACATCTAGAGATCTAGTGAAAAGGAAAAAAATCTGAATTTTCGAAAATTTGAAAAGATACAATTAATGTGGAAAAGTTCTCCTGTTGTAGAGCCGCTAATTAAATATACTACTAGCAACTCCTTAAAATTTCTCCAAATGGTATAGTACTGATTGAGAGGTGGCTCAGGACATCAACGGATATCACGGCAGTGCCTCTGACGGGGAGGTTCTTGGTTCGAGGCACGACGGTGGCAGGATTTTAGACATAAGCTAGATAGTTAGGTCAAATTCAGTCGCTGTCTGGAGGAGAATTCTAGCGGTCGGCTGCTCTGATCGGTACTTTTCCGTGGTTTCTCCGATCAACACCAGATGAATGCCGGGGCAGTAGTGAAATAATCGGTACTACGGACAGCACGCGATCTTTCCTCCCTCATCCTTGTTCAATACTCACCCCTTACTTACACTACACAGTTACACTTACATGCACTTCACTAACACATATGCCGGGAGACTGGTTGGGATCTCAGAGCTTGCTCCCTGCTGGCACGCGGATGTATCTGGTTGGGAGACGGATCCCGTTAGCCGACGGTAGGGTGGTGCCGGATCTTACCATCCAGCAGGGGAAGATCACCGCCCGCTCCAGAAAAAAACACATGCACTACACTTACGGTAATGTTCTTATCAGTCCGCACGCACGGAATCATCAATCATTCACTCAAGCTATAGCACTGACCTTATTTAATGTGTGGCGGCAGCGCCGCGCTGCGGATCGTGCGACTTGCAATGCAGACCCGTCTCGCCTTATCGCTTCGCCCCCTCCCTTCCTCCGCCTGCGCGTTTTGTTTTCCGCCGGGTGTGCGTAAAGTTAGCGTACCCACTTATTACAAAATTGAAGAGCAGTATCCCAGAATGTTGTTCTAAATAAGAACGAATTTATACCCGAATTTAAAGGTTCTTCATTAAAACAAAATTGTGGTACATTTAATTTTGATTTTTGATGCATTTTTCTTGTGTGGGTATGCTAACTTGACGTTAAGTTAGCGTACCCACTCTTTGGCGTTGTATGTTTTGATATTGTGTATCGTTTCAAAATTTTTAAATTTGGGTATACATTAGTTTCTAGTTAGAACAAATTTCTGGGATACTCTTTTTGAATTTCGTGATAAGTGGGTATGCTAACTTTACGCACATCCGGCGGAAGCCACCGCTGCATCGAGACGCTAGCGCCCACCACACTGCGGTGGCAAACTATTTTTTTTTCTACTGTACGCTGCAACTTCGACTTCAAATTAAATTTACACCAGCAAATACGCGCATTTGTGCTTGTTTGTACGTGTGCGCACATGAGGTTTGTGTGGGCGCACATGAGGGGTGCACGTGAACGTGCGTGTGTGGTGAATAATGTATTGTCGGTTCACACAAGTGTCAGACGCCAATAATTACCATTATGCAGAGCCCTACACACCTTGTCTTCAATTATTCTGACATTTTTACTACAATAATAGAGAATTATCTACATATATTTCTTCGCTCAACTGGTAAATGGTATAAATGGATGTGACACTTTCCTTGAGCACAAATGGCATGTTCTATGTATATATATTATTTAGAATGTATGTATGCATGTAATGTCTTATATACGTAGTAAGTATGTGAAGGTATTATGCATTTGGTCTCTGAAACGACTCAACCCGTTTTAGAATGGTAAAATAACTATTATCGGATAGAATTAGGGATTCATGAATGTAAGTGATTAATAATCACTCAAATGAGGAATTCCCTTTGATCTTCTCTATCTCGAATGAAAGAAATACGTCATTTTTGTACAGTCGATGGCTCAGACTACGGCAAGTCGTGTCTGTGCCACCTGTATATCGAGTATCGAAACGTATCGAGAGAGAGCGGGCGACCGCGATAGTTCTCATTCACCTCGTGCCTGATCCGTTGGGCCGAAATAGTGCGCAAATCTGCACAGTCGATATCAGGGATTACGCCGCAGCTTCAAATTGCGTTCACCGTGAATAGTCGGAAGAGCGGCCTCCGGTGGGCGTGGGAAATAGTCTTCCCCCCCATACAGCAGCTCAACCGAGCTTAAGGGAAATGGAGGCCGCGAAAATAAATTGACTGAGCCCCTTCATTAACAGGTTTTGCTGCATTAGCGATTCGTACTTTATTTAGTCTGTCTTTCATTAGCTTCGGTTTGATCCCGTGTCGAATGGAATATTCTCGTGCCGACGTAATCCGTGCAGTAAATGCGTAAATATGAAAACATGGGAAACGCCGACAGCCGAGTAAGTGTAGCGCAACGTGAATAGT